GTTGCCCGGGCACGCCAGCCCGAGCATCAACGGCAGCAACGAGTGGGACACGTTCAAGCTCAGTGTTCGGAGATGACGAGTCCAAACAAATAGGGAACGGGTGCTACAAACTCGATCACATCGTGATTCGCTCTGGTACTGTACGTCTGGGCACCCCAAACAGCCCAAACCACGCTACCCACACCATAGCAGCAACCGTTCCGACCAACACACAATATCATCAAGCATTCCAGACCACCATCAGACAATCATGCACGTGGGAGTCACCTGGAGTGGGCAACACTGTTCCAGCAACTGTCGGCGCCGGGGTGGTGACTGCCAGCAATCGTGACAATCGTTCGCAGGAACAAGACGTTGCCCGGACACGCGAGCCCGCGCATCATCGACAACAACGAGCGGGACACGTTCAAGCTCAGTTTTCGGAGATGACGAGTCCAAACGAACAGGGAACGGATGCTAGAACATCGATCACATCGTGTTTCGCTCGGGTACTGTACGTCAAGGCACCCCGGACAGCCCAAAACACGCTACCCACGCCATAGCAGCAAGCGAGTCGACCAACACACAATATCATCAAGCATTCCAGACCACCCTCAGACAATCATGCACGTGGGAGTCACCTGGAGTGGGCAACACGGTTCCAGCAACCGTCGGCGCCGGGGTGGTGACTGCCATCAATCGTGACAATCATTCGCAGGGACAAGCCGTTGCCCGGGCACGCCAGCCCGAGCATCATCGACAACAACGAGCGGGACACGTTCAAGCTCAGTTTTCGGAGATGACGAGTCCAAACGAACAGGGAACGGATGCTAGAACATCGATCACATCGTGTTTCGCTCGGGTACTGTACGTCAAGGCACCCCGGACAGCCCAAAACACGCTACCCACGCCATAGCAGCAAGCGAGTCGACCAACACACAATATCATCAAGCATTCCAGACCACCCTCAGACAATCATGCACGTGGGAGTCACCTGGAGTGGGCAACACGGTTCCAGCAACCGTCGGCGCCGGGGTGGTGACTGCCATCAATCGTGACAATCATTCGCAGGGACAAGCCGTTGCCCGGGCACGCCAGCCCGAGCATCATCGACAACAACGAGCGGGACACGTTCAAGCTCAGTTTTCGGAGATGACGAGTCCAAACGAACAGGGAACGGATGCTAGAACATCGATCACATCGTGTTTCGCTCGGGTACTGTACGTCAAGGCACCCCGGACAGCCCAAAACACGCTACCCACGCCATAGCAGCAAGCGAGTCGACCAACACACAATATCATCAAGCATTCCAGACCACCCTCAGACAATCATGCACGTGGGAGTCACCTGGAGTGGGCAACACGGTTCCAGCAACCGTCGGCGCCGGGGTGGTGACTGCCATCAATCGTGACAATCATTCGCAGGGACAAGCCGTTGCCCGGGCACGCCAGCCCGAGCATCATCGACAACAACGAGCGGGACACGTTCAAGCTCAGTTTTCGGAGATGACGAGTCCAAACGAACAGGGAACGGATGCTAGAACATCGATCACATCGTGTTTCGCTCGGGTACTGTACGTCAAGGCACCCCGGACAGCCCAAAACACGCTACCCACGCCATAGCAGCAAGCGAGTCGACCAACACACAATATCATCAAGCATTCCAGACCACCCTCAGACAATCATGCACGTGGGAGTCACCTGGAGTGGGCAACACGGTTCCAGCAACCGTCGGCGCCGGGGTGGTGACTGCCATCAATCGTGACAATCATTCGCAGGGACAAGCCGTTGCCCGGGCACGCCAGCCCGAGCATCATCGACAACAACGAGCGGGACACGTTCAAGCTCAGTTTTCGGAGATGACGAGTCCAAACGAACAGGGAACGGATGCTAGAACATCGATCACATCGTGTTTCGCTCGGGTACTGTACGTCAAGGCACCCCGGACAGCCCAAAACACGCTACCCACGCCATAGCAGCAAGCGAGTCGACCAACACACAATATCATCAAGCATTCCAGACCACCCTCAGACAATCATGCACGTGGGAGTCACCTGGAGTGGGCAACACGGTTCCAGCAACCGTCGGCGCCGGGGTGGTGACTGCCATCAATCGTGACAATCATTCGCAGGGACAAGCCGTTGCCCGGGCACGCCAGCCCGAGCATCATCGACAACAACGAGCGGGACACGTTCAAGCTCAGTTTTCGGAGATGACGAGTCCAAACGAACAGGGAACGGATGCTAGAACATCGATCACATCGTGTTTCGCTCGGGTACTGTACGTCAAGGCACCCCGGACAGCCCAAAACACGCTACCCACGCCATAGCAGCAAGCGAGTCGACCAACACACAATATCATCAAGCATTCCAGACCACCCTCAGACAATCATGCACGTGGGAGTCACCTGGAGTGGGCAACACGGTTCCAGCAACCGTCGGCGCCGGGGTGGTGACTGCCATCAATCGTGACAATCATTCGCAGGGACAAGCCGTTGCCCGGGCACGCCAGCCCGAGCATCATCGACAACAACGAGCGGGACACGTTCAAGCTCAGTTTTCGGAGATGACGAGTCCAAACGAACAGGGAACGGATGCTAGAACATCGATCACATCGTGTTTCGCTCGGGTACTGTACGTCAAGGCACCCCGGACAGCCCAAAACACGCTACCCACGCCATAGCAGCAAGCGAGTCGACCAACACACAATATCATCAAGCATTCCAGACCACCCTCAGACAATCATGCACGTGGGAGTCACCTGGAGTGGGCAACACGGTTCCAGCAACCGTCGGCGCCGGGGTGGTGACTGCCATCAATCGTGACAATCATTCGCAGGGACAAGCCGTTGCCCGGGCACGCCAGCCCGAGCATCATCGACAACAACGAGCGGGACACGTTCAAGCTCAGTTTTCGGAGATGACGAGTCCAAACGAACAGGGAACGGATGCTAGAACATCGATCACATCGTGTTTCGCTCGGGTACTGTACGTCAAGGCACCCCGGACAGCCCAAAACACGCTACCCACGCCATAGCAGCAAGCGAGTCGACCAACACACAATATCATCAAGCATTCCAGACCACCCTCAGACAATCATGCACGTGGGAGTCACCTGGAGTGGGCAACACGGTTCCAGCAACCGTCGGCGCCGGGGTGGTGACTGCCATCAATCGTGACAATCATTCGCAGGGACAAGCCGTTGCCCGGGCACGCCAGCCCGAGCATCATCGACAACAACGAGCGGGACACGTTCAAGCTCAGTTTTCGGAGATGACGAGTCCAAACGAACAGGGAACGGATGCTAGAACATCGATCACATCGTGTTTCGCTCGGGTACTGTACGTCAAGGCACCCCGGACAGCCCAAAACACGCTACCCACGCCATAGCAGCAAGCGAGTCGACCAACACACAATATCATCAAGCATTCCAGACCACCCTCAGACAATCATGCACGTGGGAGTCACCTGGAGTGGGCAACACGGTTCCAGCAACCGTCGGCGCCGGGGTGGTGACTGCCATCAATCGTGACAATCATTCGCAGGGACAAGCCGTTGCCCGGGCACGCCAGCCCGAGCATCATCGACAACAACGAGCGGGACACGTTCAAGCTCAGTTTTCGGAGATGACGAGTCCAAACGAACAGGGAACGGATGCTAGAACATCGATCACATCGTGTTTCGCTCGGGTACTGTACGTCAAGGCACCCCGGACAGCCCAAAACACGCTACCCACGCCATAGCAGCAAGCGAGTCGACCAACACACAATATCATCAAGCATTCCAGACCACCCTCAGACAATCATGCACGTGGGAGTCACCTGGAGTGGGCAACACGGTTCCAGCAACCGTCGGCGCCGGGGTGGTGACTGCCATCAATCGTGACAATCATTCGCAGGGACAAGCCGTTGCCCGGGCACGCCAGCCCGAGCATCATCGACAACAACGAGCGGGACACGTTCAAGCTCAGTTTTCGGAGATGACGAGTCCAAACGAACAGGGAACGGATGCTAGAACATCGATCACATCGTGTTTCGCTCGGGTACTGTACGTCAAGGCACCCCGGACAGCCCAAAACACGCTACCCACGCCATAGCAGCAAGCGAGTCGACCAACACACAATATCATCAAGCATTCCAGACCACCCTCAGACAATCATGCACGTGGGAGTCACCTGGAGTGGGCAACACGGTTCCAGCAACCGTCGGCGCCGGGGTGGTGACTGCCATCAATCGTGACAATCATTCGCAGGGACAAGCCGTTGCCCGGGCACGCCAGCCCGAGCATCATCGACAACAACGAGCGGGACACGTTCAAGCTCAGTTTTCGGAGATGACGAGTCCAAACGAACAGGGAACGGATGCTAGAACATCGATCACATCGTGTTTCGCTCGGGTACTGTACGTCAAGGCACCCCGGACAGCCCAAAACACGCTACCCACGCCATAGCAGCAAGCGAGTCGACCAACACACAATATCATCAAGCATTCCAGACCACCCTCAGACAATCATGCACGTGGGAGTCACCTGGAGTGGGCAACACGGTTCCAGCAACCGTCGGCGCCGGGGTGGTGACTGCCATCAATCGTGACAATCATTCGCAGGGACAAGCCGTTGCCCGGGCACGCCAGCCCGAGCATCATCGACAACAACGAGCGGGACACGTTCAAGCTCAGTTTTCGGAGATGACGAGTCCAAACGAACAGGGAACGGATGCTAGAACATCGATCACATCGTGTTTCGCTCGGGTACTGTACGTCAAGGCACCCCGGACAGCCCAAAACACGCTACCCACGCCATAGCAGCAAGCGAGTCGACCAACACACAATATCATCAAGCATTCCAGACCACCCTCAGACAATCATGCACGTGGGAGTCACCTGGAGTGGGCAACACGGTTCCAGCAACCGTCGGCGCCGGGGTGGTGACTGCCATCAATCGTGACAATCATTCGCAGGGACAAGCCGTTGCCCGGGCACGCCAGCCCGAGCATCATCGACAACAACGAGCGGGACACGTTCAAGCTCAGTTTTCGGAGATGACGAGTCCAAACGAACAGGGAACGGATGCTAGAACATCGATCACATCGTGTTTCGCTCGGGTACTGTACGTCAAGGCACCCCGGACAGCCCAAAACACGCTACCCACGCCATAGCAGCAAGCGAGTCGACCAACACACAATATCATCAAGCATTCCAGACCACCCTCTGACAATCATGCACGTGGGAGTCACCTGGAGTGGGCAACACGGTTCTAACAACCGTCGGCGCCGGGGTGGTGACTGCCATCAATCGTGACAATCATTCGCAGGGACAAGCCGTTGCCCGGGCACGCCAGCCCGAGCATCAACGACAACAACGAGCGGGACACGTTCAAGCTCAGTTTTCGGAGATGACGAGTCCAAACGAACAGGGAACGGATGCTAGAACATCGATCACATCGTGTTTCGCTCGGGTACTATAATTCAAGGCACCCTGGACAGCCCAAACCACGCCACCTACACAATAGCAGCAATGTTGTCGATCAACACAATATCATCAAGCATTCAAGACCACCCTCTGACAATCATGCACGTGGGAGTCACCTGGAGTGGGCAACACGGTTCCAGCAACCGTCGGCGCCGGGGTGGTGACTGCCATCAATCGTGACAATCATTCGCAGGGACAAGCCGTTGCCCGGGCACGCCAGCCCGAGCATCATCGACAACAACGAGCGGGACACGGTCAAGCTCAGTTTTCGGAGATGACGAGTCGAAACAAACAGGGAACGGATGCTAGAACATCGACCACATCGTGTTTCGCTCGGGTACTGTACGTCAAGGCACCCAGGACAGCCCAAAACACGCAACCCACACCATACCAGTNACAACAACGAGCGGGACACGGTCAAGCTCAGTTTTCGGAGATGACGAGTCGAAACAAACAGGGAACGGATGCTAGAACATCGACCACATCGTGTTTCGCTCGGGTACTGTACGTCAAGGCACCCAGGACAGCCCAAAACACGCAACCCACACCATACCAGTAATCGAGTCGACCAACACACAATATCATCAAGCATTCAAGGCCACCCTCAGACAATCATGCACGTGGGAGTCACCTGGAGTGGGCAACACGGTTCCAGCAACCGTCGGCGCCGGGGTGGTGACTGCCATCAATCGTGACAATCATTCGCAGGGACAAGCCGTTGCCCGGGCACGCCAGCCCGACCATCAACGACAACAACAAGCGGGACACGGTCAAGTTCAGTTTTCGGATATGACGAGTCCAAACGAACAGGGAACGGACGCTAGCACATCGATCACATCGTGTTTCGCTCGGGTACTGTACGTCAAGGCACCCAGGACAGCCCAAACCACGGTACCTACACCATAGCAGCAATCTTGTCGATCAACATACAATTCATCAAGCATTCAAGGCCACCCTCAGACACTCATGCACGTGGGAGTCACCTGGAGTGGGCAACACGGTTCCAGCAACCGTCGGCGCCGGGGTGGTGACTGCCATCAATCGTGACAATCATTCGCAGGGACAAGCCGTTGCCCGGGCACGCCAGCCCGAGCATCAACGACAACAACGAGCGGGACACGTTCAAGCTCAGTTTTCGGAGATGATGAGTCCAAACGAACAGGCAACGGACGCTAGAACATCGATCGCATCGTGTTTTGCTCGGGTACTGTACGTCAAGGCACCCCGGACAGCCCAAAACACGCTACCCACGCCATAGCAGCAAGCGAGTCGACCAACACACAATATCATCAAGCATTCCAGACCACCCTCAGACAATCATGCACGTGGGAGTCACCTGGAGTGGGCAACACGGTTCCAGCAACCGTCGGCGCCGGGGTGGTGACTGCCATCAATCGTGACAATCATTCGCAGGGACAAGCCGTTGCCCGGGCACGCCAGCCCGAGCATCAACGACAACAACGAGCGGGACACGTTCAAGCTCAGTTTTCGGAGATGACGAGTCCAAACGAACAGGGAACGGATGCTAGAACATCGATCACATCGTGTTTCGCTCGGGTACTGTACGTCAAGGCACCCTGGACAGCCCAACCCACGCCACCTACACCATAGCAGCAATTTTGTCCATCAACACACAATATCATCAAGCATTCCAG